ACCTACCCGCATTTCTTCCTCCACTGAATTTAATTTTTTATATTCGTAAGTACTGAAAACCCTTGTTCACAAATATATGAGGTTGAGAATGACAAAAGAATAGTCAATGCTTTTATAGATATTATTATTGAAAGCATTTATTTTCTTATATCGCAATACAATGCAATAGGTAATTTATGGAAAAACCGTGGCACACCTAGTGGATAGTGGACTCGCAGCACCCAGTTTGAAAACCACTGTCATAAACATTTAACATAATATATAATACTTACATTACTAAAATACACTTGTTTTCATAAATAAACCTTTGAAATACAAATAATATTTTAGGAACTTAACCCCCCTCCAGAAAAATGTTGAAAATCTACTACTGGAGAGAATAATAATTAATGGCAAAAAAGCATCATCTTATTATGATTATAAAATTTATAACATATAGGTATTAGGTATGTTACCTAATATTGTATTAAAATATAAATTAGAGAATGATTCATTTTCACATGTAAAACCTCCGGAAAATTTTAAAAAACATAATAGACTTACGTATTAATTGTGTATAAAAAATTATGGCTATTAGCAAATGAATAAAAATATCGTGTATTAGTATATTTTTAAAAATGCTGAGAAAATGAAAGTGATATTCATATTTTATAAAATATTAAATAGCAATTAAAACAATATTTTATAAAAACTACATAATATAATGATATTATAAAAAATATTAACATATTTTTAAAATTATATCAATAATCGCGTTCATCAAAAGCAAATATTAGTAGCTTAATAATCGCTTGGAATATATCAAGAAATCTCAATAACTACCTATATTACGATGTTATTATTTTTGAAATTCTAATTATGTTTATTAAATAGATTTTAGATTTTGTTATATAGGTACCATTGTACCAACTTATTTAGAACAAGCAAGAATTAATTTTTAAATATTTTCCTTTTAACAGCAGCTCATGATCTACATTATCTAACGACTTCAACTACTGTACATAGCAGTTTTCAGAGTATTGATGAAATAATTAGGCGAGCACTAATTTTACAACATAAAATGAACATGAGAATGAAAGCATCTATRATGTATGCTCTTTTAATTTAAACTTATTTATTTATTTATGTTATTTTAATTTTAAATAAAATTCTACTAGGTATAGTCCAATGTTAAGACGACCTGACAACTATTCTAAAACAGAAATGGAAATGGCGGCGAACGATCTTTCTGTGGCAATGAAAACAGGAAATATCATTAGTGAAGAAGAAAATTCTAGTAATTTTCATGCACTTTATCAAAAAAACATGAAAAAAAGTACTGAAAATAAAGATTCTGCATGGGATAATATTATAATGTCTGCAATTGACAATAATTTATTGTGCAACATCTGTTTTGAAATCTTTATAAAGGTACCTACTATATAGAACAATTATCAATTACCTATTTAAAACAGCATTTAACAGTATAACTAAAGATTGACTGTCGTAAKGCTTATGAAAACTAAACAGTTTATATAATAATAAATAATAACATAGTAAATAAATAATAAATGTAGATATTTTGAACTTCATTAATTTATTTTCTGGTAAAAAAATTAATCTGGTTGGTGAATTTAAAAATATTATTCTTGTGTTCTTCAAACTTAAAGACTGCTATTGCATACCTAAAAATTTGAAGATTTTTGGAGGAAATGAATTCAATACACTGTCTTACGAATCGTAAAATAAATTAATTTAAGAGCAATAATATAATAAAATATACTTAATAATGTAGGCTGATAGACCGTCTTCGCTCAGAATCGTGTTTTCGTATACCATGATTAWATATTATTGAATTTAAATTAMTACTATTCATTGAGTGACAACGCTTATGTACAGCAGAGCGTTACCCACTTGCCCATATATTTTTGTTATTATAAAACTGAAAATAAAAAAACGTATATAATATGTAATTATATGTACCTAATTCTAAATAAAAAGAGAGAATAGAAAAAAAAAATTATTTACAAAACAATTGTACGCCAATATTAAAAACTGATACTTTTCATCTTGAAAAGTCTTGAAACGCTTATTAAATCATTAATAATATTTTTTTTCAGCCGACCGTACTTAACTGTTCACACACGTTTTGTGAATCATGTATTCATGTTTGGACAATCCGYGTCATAAATTGTCCAATTTGTCGTGTGGAAGTCAAATCAAAATCATATTGTTTAACTCTAGAAACCTTCATAGAGAATATTGTTGAACATTTGCCGAAGGAATTTAAAATTAAGCGCGAAGCAGYAATAAAAGACCGAAACATGATGAAAAGTATYTACCTAATCCAATGGGCATCAGCATAATAACTTAATAAATAACATTTATATTTCAGTCAAAAAACCTCAACGAGTGAACCACAGATTTAATAGTGGATCTCTTAGTGGATTAACTTATTTAGAACAACGGCCCGATGCTACTACACAATACCAGCCCACGGTGGATCGAAACGTTCATTTAAATGCAGACATTAGTGTCAACGAACTGGAAATGTTCAGAATGAATTCACATGATACAGTTGTAAACACTAGAGGTGTAAACCATCATCTAGCGAGTTATTTTGTTGATCCCGAGGAACAAATCTCAAATAGACGCAGTAGAAGATCTGAAGATCATTTAAGGAGGAGGCGATTTAGTATCATAGATTGATAGGTAGTATCAAGGATGTTACTGAATACACATTTCCGATTTTCATATTTAAAAAAAATACCTTTTTTGTATTAATTATCAAGTTTGAAGTTATAGTTATGAGTGTTATAACTAATAAATATTACTGCATATTACTTCATATTATTGCAGCGCTATTATTCAAGTATAATAAGAAGTCATATTGCGGGGAGGGGGAGGTAATCGCCACGTCACCCCCTTAAAATCTGCCACTGAATAGACGTAGGTACATCTAAACCACATAACGACATAACCCTTCTGCAACCTGCAAGTCATTAAATTCAAACACTTCGTAATTTTGTTTTGAATTTTGATCGTAATATATTATATAAGAGTAATTTTAAATATTAGTATAATTGTGTGTCTTATAATAATGATTTATTATTAGTTCTGCTCGAATTGAGATTTTCTTAAATCATATTTAATGAAACATATTTATAATCTGATAACAAAAAAACTACTGAAAAATTATGAAGTTTAGTATCTACGTATTGCAATTTATTGTCGATAAATACACAATAATATGGGATAATCAATTGTATATACATATTACTCACAATAATAATTATTTAGGTTTAAATTTTTATCCGCAACTATTTACTATGTAATGAATGAAATACTTAGTATGAATGCAGTTAAAATATTTTATTTATATGTATAAGTTTATGGTAACTGCATGTAAAGATTCCCATACCAATGTATTATGTGGACAATTGTAAAATTATTTAAGATATAAAGAATAAAATTCTAATCAGTTCAAAATAATTTATAAAATTGCACTTTTTAATATTTCAATATTCAGATATTTTAATATGAAATGTATCGATTATATAGAATATACAAATACCAAATGGAGATGATATCATTATAGAAAATATAGTGTTTAATGAATAATGAGTTAAAAATAATAACTATTATTGAAATAGGTACATTGTYAATTTATATTATATAGTATTTAATGCTTTGTTTTATATATATATATTCATGAGGTCATTACCTATTAATTATATATTCATTATGTTTTAATCTTATGTAGAAATATATTAGTAAATTTGTTTTAACTGTAAGTCTGTAAAATAAATCGATAAATGTTAACTGCCTATTGATTTATTTTAATTTAATTAATAATAATAGAATCTAAATAAATTGTCATATATAATTTAAAATACTGAAGGCATTAGTTATATACATAACTATATATAACTGTATATAACTATATATTCACTATAGTGAATAGTGGCATTCTAAGAACTAACAAATTCGGCCATCAGCTGAAATTTTATTTGAGTTGAAATTTAAAAATAATATTGTACTTACTACTTACCTATTACGTCTATCTGAACAAGCCGTAGGTATACATGACCAAAAAAAAAAAAAATAAGTTACTGAGTGTATATGTTAATATGTTAAAAATCTTTTATTTGTTTTGTTGAATTATTTATGTATTTATGTATACTGCCACAGTMAGCTATAACAATATTAAATAAAATCATTCTGCTATGGTTTATAAACAGTGTCAGCATTATCAAAGCCGATRGCCACTCCATTTTTTTTAGTGGTCTCATAATTTGTTTTAGTTTAGTGTGTTTCTGGAGTAGAAACTGTAAAGAACTTATTTATGRAAAAATTAAACCGTACTTAATATTTAGGCACAATTTATTTTTCTTTACATAGCCAGGGCCATCCTGAAAATGTTCGGTATCTTTGGGTTTCATTTTGGGGCCCCTAAACAACTGATCCATAAACMTTTCATATGCCAGGCCAACACTATTTATAAAATCTTTTACTTCTAACTCTTACATAAAAATATAATAATAGATGTATAATTATATACTTGTATACTTATACACCTATAATACTATTTACTTAAATATAAATAGTTGCCTAATATTTTGTTATTCATTTATCATTTCAAGATTTTTTTCATATTATATTATTATCCGTCTATTTTAATTCAGTAAAAGTAATATGCTGCTATTTATATATATTATTACCTAATATTTCCTATATAAGTAACTAAGTCACCTTGGTACATTATATAAACATATATATTATATAAATATTATATAAGGCGCAATTATTAGTAATGCGCACGGGGATGCAGAACATCACAACATAGTTTTTAGATAAAACACATCTTATGACAAACCGACAAGATCTAAGTATTCCTTGTTTTGACAAACAATCTTATTTTTTCTTATTAAAATATTGKAATTTGATATATTATCATAATAACAACTTGAGCAAATAATCACAACAAACGTAAATATGTAATTCAGTAATTGAATAGATTACAAACTATATAACTAATGATAAAAGTTGAAGATAAATAGATATTAATTATGGAATTATAGGTTAGATAGAAMAAATTCTATTCTCTACATTATTGTCTAAACTCAGTACATTTATAGTTGYTAATATTGAAAATAAAATTAAGATTAATTAGATTTACATTTTATTTCATCATTCATTATTATAAATGTGATCATAAATAAGGKTTTTATAATATAGGTAAATAAAAAATAAAATGTTTTTCGAATTTAGATTCGTATTTACATTATGGTTCATGCTCTATGATCTATGAAACGAGTTATATTTTATATTCGTTATTATGCAGTTTATTTTTTGTATTGAACAAGGTATTATTAAACGGTGCAATTGAATTGGCTCCCCAATACAGGTAGTCAATATTTTACCCTTACTAATAAGCACCTTTGAATTGGCTCCCAAGAATTTACTGTTGAATTGGCTCCCGACCGTTTTTTTTTTCAAAAATTTATTGGTTGCCAAAATGTTAATAATTTAAAGTACGTATAATTCGTAATTCCTATATTTTACATCGTAACACAAAATTAAATTAAAAAATTTAAAAAACACAATATTTTACCAAAGTGCGTCATTATAATATTTATGTATAATATATAAATTAAAAATTTTAASGATAAAATAAAAATGTATAGGAGTCAATGATAATCGATTATTGTAGTAGATTACGACGATAAAGACGATAAATACGATAATATAATAGATATAGTATAGGTATATCCAGGAGTACACTATATTATTTGAGTGAAAAATGACAGGYTATATTAGGTAGACGTCGTAAAAGTAAACGCTTATAATATGAGAACACCTAGTTAAAAAATAATATTTAACAATTTAAGGAGCCAATTCAATAGTAGCCTTATTAAAAATACCGGCATCTCATGTGAAAAAGTTTACGTACGCTTATGGACTATGATACATTTGACCAGTAACGAAACGAGTCTATAATAACTTATAAACAACCTAAAATTGACTCATAAAAAAAACAAACCWCAGAGTCTAGCTTTTATTTTAAACTACCAAACTACGTTAATGATGCATACATATTGCACGCCATTATACTTATTAGTGAATAAATGAAAAAATTATAATTCAAAACTCTACATAGTACATACACACATTATAAAGCATAAATCGAAATCAGTAATAATAGACAAAAATATGTTGTTATGAATTTGTTATAAATTTATAATGTTGTTGGATACGTCCTGACCGTTCTAGATGATTTTAAGTCTATTAAGCTACTGAACCTTATATTCATAAGTCTTATAAGCGGAGTCCATTGCATATTAAATAATGATTATATAGTAAAATTAGCTCAAAAAATATGATAATGCTATAGGTAGTCTAATGTAATAATGTAAGTAAATTATTTTCTTTTAAATCTTTCAAGTTATTTCTGATAATTTATTATGATTCACTATGAGTATTTTCAATAAAATTAAATCATTTATAATGAATATTATTATTTTTATTGGTATACATTAAAATAATATTGTAAAACATTACAAATTAATAATTATTAAAAATATAAAAATTAATTAAGAATATGAGTGTCTAAAATATTAAMTAAAAATTATTTATTTATTAATTGGAATAACTTTTATTTATACTTTATACATATATATTTATTTATAATTTCATAGATTTAAATAGGTATGGATTAAAAATAATTCATGTCTTCAACAAGAACAAAACTCTTCAGCAAGAAAAACTAGTTTTGGATCAAAGTCATGAATCAGATTCTACAATTGAACGTCAAGCCTTCAGTAATAATAATATCAAAYGAAAAATGTCATCTAAAATAATTAGAAAAGAACTTTGTAGTTAAGTAAACGATATACAATTACTGACTTTATGAAATTCAAAATTCATAACAAAATGCGTTCATAACAACAAGTACAAGTTTTTATTGAAAATTTTATTTGAGAATTTTTTATTTTATAATATTTTAAATAATATTGTATTTATGAAGTAAAACTAGTAAAAATTCCTCCCAATACATATATTTACATTACCTATCGTCAAAATGTTATATAATTATATATAGGTAAGTACATTGAAATAAAAAATAGTGGATAGGTACTGACGGTACTGTGAAAGTATAAACTATATAAGCCTAGGTTGTACAATCAGAAAAATAAATAAATACTAGCACGGAGGGTTAGAAAATAAATATAAAGAAATATAGACAGCTTAAACGTTTTAAAGWGAAACTTTCGTTTTAAATCAAATTTTATTCAGAAATAAAAATATTAAAATGTACATAAAAAGTATTATATTTATAGCATTGAGCAAATTTCTAACATGTTCCGCTAGAGCACTGTAGTAGCTTGGTATGTGCAATACCACGGACTATCTATCTTAGTCCGTGTGCAATACGGAATACGCCATAGACCTTATAAGTAAAATATAGTATAAGGTCTATGGAATACGCGTAGTCCGCGTTATCACCCACACTGTTATCATTCTTATCACTCCGTCGGTGTATCGCCGCCAAACCACTACCAGTTACAACTTAACGAGCATACAATACGACTGGGTCGACTGACAGACGGCAGTGTCTATACTAGTGTGTACTCTAGTGCCTATACGCGGTGTATTTCATATATAGCCGATTGGTACGCTTTGTACTTGTTAGTTGCAAGTTACTAATT